CTTTATGTCACCTCGTGGATAACTTAATTAAAATATATTTTTATTTTTATTACAATAATTTTAAATATAAAAATAAAAGAATTAAAGAACTTACATTCAAAAAAGAAAATCGTAACTAGGCAGTTCTATGAAAACTTAACGCTCGCTCAAACTTCTTCTTCCATGCAGCATCCGAGTCCACTCATTTACAGATTGGCCTAGACTTGCTTTTCTTCACGACAGTGTCTTGATTTTCTTCTAAGTGCTTGTGCGAATGCCGGAGATTTGAATAATGCTTGCTTGATTTGGAGAGAATACGAGGTTTCTGGTTTTCCTTACAATGTAAAAAGTTACTTGAGGTAAGTTGTAAGCCTCTCCCTGCTTTTCCCTAACCTTGTATGAGTTTTTATTTAGTATCTATCTCTACCAAATTTGGATCCTCTCCTGCAATATTATCTTTTCAGCCTCTCTCTAACAACATTAATAACTATTAGATATATCTAATGGTTCAAATTTAATCTTATAATCAATAACTATCGGATGATCCAAATTCATCTCTGCCTCATGGGTGTGGCTGTTAACTAATTATTTGTATGGTTGTAGAATGTATCAGGCACTTTTGGCAGCAGGATATCATAGATCTGCTCACTTTATGCTTCACAAAGGGTGATGCACCTGATTTAATATTTACTTAACCTATTGATTATCATAGAAGATGTTGGTTCCAATTAATTATATTGAGGGTGGTCCTACTTGATTTAGAATAGGCCTGTAGCCGAGCTAAATGGTACTTTTGGGTTCTCATCTTATAGGCTAATTGTATCCCATATTATAGCCTTTCATTTGTGGCTTGGAAAGGTGCCTTTCGGATATGAAGAAGGCTTTTCACTTTTTTTCTTTTAGTGTGTTAGAATAAGAAATTTAAATGAAATAATTTATTTGTTTTTTTTAAGAATTTTAAATATTTTGAAATGAAATGTGTTGTTTAAATGGATAATTTTTAAAAAAATTGAAATGCAATCATTTGTAAAAAATCTTTAAATTCTTTCAAAAGCAAATAAGAATTTGAAATTATTTATTTATTTTTTTATTTTATTTTATTTATATATCTTTTATCTCTTATGTTTTCTTTTGTTTCTCTCTCCTTTTTCCTTTTTTTTTCTCTCCCAAATTCTTTTCTTTCTTCTCTTTCTAATTTTTATCTCTTTTTTTCCCCTCTCTCTCCCCTCATTTCTCTTTTCTCTTCATCTCTCCCTCTTTCTATTGTATAATTTTTCTTTCTCTCTCTTGTTTTTTCTCCTACCTTTATCATCTCTCCTTCCAAATCCACATAAAAAATATTAATAATTTTTAATTATTAATATTATCTAATATTAATTTTAAAAATATTAAATATTTTAAAAATTGACTAACATTTATTATTATAAATTTTAATCTTAAAATTTCAATATATGTAGGTTACTTTTATTTATATATATATATATATATATTATATTTAAAATCAATTTTATTCATAATGAAAATCAAATTACCATATCTAAATTAAAATTTAATAAATTTTAATTGATTTATTTAAAAAAAACTTTTAAAGAATAATAAAAATTAAAATTAAAGTAATTCAAATTTAAGAAATTTTCAATTTCTAAAATTTCTTATTCAACCACATAAAGTGAATTTAGTTTTAGAATGTATTTAATATATTCTGGAAACTGAATTCTGAAACATTTATCTATTATTAAAAGTACGTTTGAAAAAAAATTATTGAAAAAATAGTTACTAAAGCCGGAAAGTCTATTGGGAAAAAATGGGACAGTAAAGAGAAGCTCTCTCGTGTTTATGCTTATAAAGTTTATCTAATATTGGTTTATTTATGTTAGAAAAATGAAATGAATTTAAGGTCCAAAATTTAAGCTCTGTGACCAATTACATGATATAAACAAGTGAAGGAAAATTGGTTGTCGATCATCCACATCATATATAAGAAGTATATTCCTTTTGGTACAAATCTAAAGAAATACAATAGGAGGGAGAGAGAAGATAGAGATGTGACACAAATCTCAAAAAATACAATAGAGGGGAAAGATCTAGAGAATTTTCGTGCTCAAAAGAGTCTTATTCAAAATTTCTCTGGCCGCCCTGGGAACTGTGCCCGAGGCTTCTATTTATAAGAATCAGAAGGGGGCTAGAACAGCCCATTCCGGATTCAGAACGCCCCGTTCTAGGCCATTCGTTATGTGCAAATTACAAACTTTGGAACGACTTGTTCTTAAAATGGAACGGTCCATTCCAGAGTGGAAATTAACACAAAGTTGCCCTCTCCAGAACGGCCCGTTCCAAATTTGACTTGTTTGGAATGACCCGTTCTGGTATTGGAACGCCCCGTTCCAGCCTAGGACTCTTTTGGTGCTTTAGTCACGTTGGAACGACTTGTTCTGATATTGGAACGGCCCGTTCCGGGGTTCGGAACGGCCCATTCCGATTTTGGCATAGCCCGTTCCGAGCTACTAAAACTACCTTATTTGGCCTTTAGGCCTTCTGATGTCCTGTCTTGTTGCTTGCCTGCTTCGGGAGCTCCTTCCCTTCACAACGGAGGTCCATTTCCTTGTTTGTGTGCCTCCGGACGAAATTGAGTGTCTACAAACCTTAATTTTAGATCGAATCATAAGCCACCTTTGAATTAATGGTCTATCATATTTTCATGACTAGTTGACATAAATAATGATTTATTTATGTTGGCTTTAAGTATGTAATAGATTATATTGGTGTTGGGATTATTTTATGATATTTATTTGAGGGGATTATTTTATAAGTGTTATTTTTATAAGGTTATTACATAAGTATACTCCATAATGATGAGATATTATCCGTTTTGTACCTAAGCCTTCACTGTTTTGCTTTTGGTCATCACCCAAATGGTCTCTCTATCATTCACGGATGCATGTATTAGCTTGTGGGGGCAGTTGCCCCCACTAACTTTTCAATTTTTTTCAATAATATATATAATATTATATTATCTTCACTTAAAATCTAAAAACAGAAGAAAAAAAACTAAAAAAGTTACAATATTAAAATTTAATTTGAATCTTGCTGCAGTTATCTTTGTGTGAGAAGGAAGATTTTTAAAAAAATATTTTAATATGTTACAAAAATTAACAACAAATTACATATTTTAGAAGAAAAAAAAAAGTTGTTATGCATTTAAATTGTAAATCAAGATAAAAAAATTATAAATTAATAATGTATGTATTTTAAGTATAAAAAAAACATAAGTTGTTATTAATCTCTTTTTGAATATTTTATATTTTTTTCCTATTTTATTTGTACTTTTTTCAATTCTTTTTCGTATTTTGAGATTCTCCTCTACCTTTAACATATTTTAAAGTGTAAAATTGTGAAATTGGAGAGAAAAAGAAAAAAAACAAACTTCTTCTTCCATCTCTACTCCTTGTTTGAATAGTTAAACTATACATTTAAAGAGATATCTTTGAGGTTAGTGTATTTAAAGTTATTATTTTTATATTACTTTATTTGAACTATTTTTTATTTTCAATGAAAATTTAGTATTTTAATTTTTATTTACTCAAACTATTTTTATGTTTAGAAGAAACATTATATGTTATGAACATTACATTAGTTAAAATTATATTGCTTTTAGTTACTTGTATATATAGAGGGATTTTTGATATTACTGAAAATGAACAAATTATTTAATGTGTTCTAACTATGAATAAAACTCGTACATAACAATTATGATATGTATTTGTCTTTATAGAAATTTTATTTTATATTTTGACAAATTTATGTATTTAAATATTGCCGCCACTATTTAAGATTTCTAGATCTGTCACTACTCTTTATCATTTAAGTATATGTTTGTTTGTGTTATATAAGTTGTTATTTTTTATCTTATTTTATCGATGTGAGATTTGTTTGTATCTCAACAATTAGAAGTAGAATACTCATATTTTTTCTAGCAAGGACCGTGCTGCTTCGGAGACTATTTTGTAACTATTCCATATTTTTTAAAAGAAATCCCTGCTTTTGCAGAAGAAACGAAACAAGGGAAAAAAGTGTTCATATTAGCTTTGAATGAAGTCTTAAAGTAAACCCAACTTGACTACACCCAAAGCAAAAGGAAAGTCATCAATGTGTTTGTTAAACACAATTATGAGAAATCAAGTAAAGAATCTTTCCACAAAATAAAAGTAAAAATCCAAAGCCACAATTAGAGGCTTTTATTATTCTTTACTGCCTGTCCTAGCTGTAAAGTTAGGAATAATGCTCTCACCAGACACGCTTCAGTGGAAAAATCGTGTGTTCATATTAGTTTGTGTAATTTATAATATTTTTTTTCACATGTATATTTAAGACGTGTAACAGTTAAATAACATCACGACACTGGTAACTATTTGTGAACCAAAATTAATACTCATTAGACATAAGATTATTCACATAGCATTTTAAATACTGTGTTTTTTTGTGAATTGAATACTGTGTTTCTTTAATATTTGAATGCAGGTAGATGTAACAAATTTATGTAAAAAAATTATAAGTAGTGAGATGGTACATCTTTATCTCACATCTTACATTGTAATGAGCATAAATAATTTTTTTTATAACCTTCCAGTATTATATGAATAATTATCTTATTCTCTTAGGTGGAGAAAACAGGGCAATAGAAAACTAAAATGTGTTGAAATTAGCTTTTTAATAAAGTGGAAAACTGAAGCCAACTTCACTGCACCGGAAGCAACATGGATGTCATGGAAAACTGAAAATTATTGCAACTTAATTTCTTCCGAATTAGGGGCTTTTATTTTAATTACATTGTCTTCCTTCAAATATTACCACAGCATCAACATCACTACCACACTTTCTTTGAATCCTGAAACAGTAATTGTTCTTGCTTTACACCTTGGCAGTAATACTAATTAATGCAAATCATTGCATTTGCCAATAATTTCAATTGCTTCTGGTTACATAATGAAGAGGAGAAACTATAGATAACCATAATTATTGTAACACGAATACGTTTTGGCAAATCAATAACAACAGTCTAGAATGCCCAAAGCACAAGACACGTTTCAGTGGAAAAATAGTGTTTTCATACTAGCTTTATGATTAAGTAAAAATATGAGGACCCAACTTGGACTTCATGCCATAGTGACAATTGCAACTTAATTTCGTCTGAATCTGAGTGCAAAGTGTGAGAAACTTGGTAGAACCTGCCAAGAAGAATTTCTCTTGTTTGCAAGAGATATTCGCCTAAATACATAATCAACCAACTTCATTTAACCCTCAAACCTTGTATTTCTTCACTGTCCACCCTTTATTTGTATCCAGAGTCACCTGTTCTTGCTTTTGCATTCGCATCTTTACACAAATTCTAATACACATCTTTCATTCTCTACAGGTTTGACAATTGCAATGGCTTCCAATGCCATCATCCAATGCAGCTCCTCTTCATCTCATCCGATGAGGACATATGATGTGTTTGTGAGCTTCCGTGGTGAAGACACACGCAACAACTTCACTTCTTTTCTCTGTCGTGATCTCAGTAGAAATGGCATTGAGGCCTTCAAAGATGATACACATCTCCCCAAAGGTGAATCAATAGCACCCGAGTTACTACAAGCCATTGAAGGGTCTCGCATTTTCATTGTGGTCTTCTCCAACAACTATGCTTCCTCCACTTGGTGCTTGCGTGAATTAGCACACATATGCAATTGCATTCAAACTTCACAAAGGCCTGTCCTTCCTATATTTTATGATGTTGATCCTTCAGAGGTTCGAAAACAAAGCGGATGTTATGAAAAAGCCTTTTCCAAACATGAAGATAAAGAGAAGACAGAGGAAGTTCAGAGATGGAGAGAAGCTCTCACACGAGTGTCCAATCTCTCTGGCTGGGATATCCGAAACAAGTAATTAATCTTCTCTCATTTCATGATGTTGGATCTTCATTTATTACCTATACACACCCTACCTTATATGCATGTGCATATATTCACCATTACATTATCACTTCGTTTTCTTGTTTTTACTAACCCTTTCTAAAATAAGGTTGAGATAGGTTGAATTGGTAACATGTAGATTTTTTTTATAAACAAATACGTGTTAAATGTAATTAGCATTTAAAAAGGGAAGAATAACTCTGATATTTTCATTTCCTCTATTTGGTTCTCAATGTGTTAATTTGACATTCTTCATTTTTTTTTTCAAATTTCAGGCCACAATATGTAGTGATTGAAGAAATTATTCAAAAGATAACAAACATTCTGGGTCATAAATTTTCAAGTCTTTCAAAAGATAATTTAGTTGGGATGGAATCTCGTGTTAAAAAATTATTAAAGATATTGTGTTTGGAGTCGATTAATGATGTTCGAGTTATTGGAGTTACTGGGATGGGCGGAATAGGAAAAACAACTATTGCTCAATCTTTATATGAAAGAATCTCTCATCAATATGATTTTTGTTGTTTTATTGATGTGAGCAAAATTTATCAAGATTCTAGCACTATAGGTGTACAAAAAGAGATACTTTCTCAATGTCTAAAAGAAAAGAATCTTAAGATTTCTAATGCTTCTGATGGAACATACTTAGTATGGACAAGGTTACGCCATGCAAGGGCACTTATTGTTCTAGATAATGTTGATCAAGATAGGCAACTAAATATGTTTACAGGGAATAGGGAGACTCTATTACGTGAATGCTTAGGTGGAGGGACTAGAATTATCATAATTTCTAGGGATGAACATATATTGAGAACACATGGAGCAGATGATGTTTATCAAGTCCAACCGTTAAATGACGAAGATGCTATTCAATTATTTTACAAATATGCTTTCAAAGGTAATGATATTATGAGTGATTATGAAGAGATGACAAATGATGCACTATCACATGTTCAAGGCCATCCTTTGGCAATTCAAGTATTGGGCTCATCTTTGTTTGGTAGAAATATCTCACAGTGGAAAAGTGCATTGGCTAGGCTTGGAGAAAATAAAAGTGCAAATGTTATGGATGTCCTGCGATTAAGTTTTGATAACTTGGATAACCTAGACAAGGAGATATTTCTAGATATTTCTTGCTTCTTAAATGAGTTTAAAGAGAAACATGTGTTGGAGATTCTAGTTTTTCGTGGATTTCATCCTGAATATGGTCTACGTGTTCTTGTTGACAAATCGCTCATAACCATTGAGTATGGGTGTATTTTTATGCACAACTTGTTGATAGATTTGGGAAGGTGTATTGTTCGAGAAAAATCACCTAAGGAACCAAGAAAGTGGAGTAGGTTGTGGGATTACCAAGATCTTCACAAAGTTATGTCAGATAATATGGTAAAATATTATTTGAGTTTTTAAAGTGTTAGGTTGTCATTTTTCTACAATCTTTAAATGCTCCCAAAGATCTAACATTTTCTTCCCTATTTACATTATTATAGGAATCTGAAAATCTTGAGGTCATTGCTATTGAAGGTTGTATAGTGAAGTTTGATGAAACAACAATGAGGGCTGATGCTCTATCAAAAATAAGTAAACTTAAGTTTCTCAAACTTCAATTTATGGACTTTTGTGGAAGCCTCGATCATCTTTCTAATGAGTTAGGATATCTTGAATGGAAAGAATATCCTTTTAAGAGTTTGCCTCCGAGTTTTCAACCGAACAACCTTGTTAAGTTGTCTCTATGTAGGAGCAATATCAAACAACTGTGGAAAGATAGAAAGGTGTGTAGATTGTGAATCTAGCTTTTTTATTTTTGTTTTTTTTCTTCTTTCCAATAATCAACTAAAAATACAAACTCTCTTATGTTATTTACTTTTTCTCATATTAACTAAAGAAAGAAAATAAATTCTGAATGTCATTATTAACTTTGTTTCCAACTATTGTCCCTTTACTGCAGTCTCTACCCAATTTGAAACATTTGGATCTATCTGAATCCAAAAGCCTAATGAAGGTACCAGATCTTGGGGAGGCCTTCAATCTTAGGTTGTTGAATTTGAGTGGATGCGAAAAATTGAGGCAGCTTCATCCATCCATTGGTCTTCTAAGAAAGTTGACTTTTTTGAATTTAGAAGAATGTACAAGTCTTATCAAGATAACAGAATTAAGAGAGAACCTAAATCTTGAAAGACTAAATCTTCGAGGATGTATACAACTCAAGGAGTTTAATATATCCATTGGTTTTATGCAAAAGCTTACCCATTTAGATTTGAGTGGGTGTAAAAATCTAGTAAGCTTACCCGATAGCATATTGTGCCTAAATTCTCTAGAATATTTGAATCTCTCTGGCTGTCAAAAATTGTTAAATATATCAAGGAATGAAGAGCAAATGAAGAAGCTTTGTATAGATGAATCTCCGATTTGTTCGCACTCAACAAATGAAGAGCATTTGTTGCATTCTAGAGTACGTACAGGTTCAGTTAGTCGGTTGTTGCCTCCCTCGCCTACACTTGGTTGTATGCTTCAACTTCATCTAAGTTTCTGCAATTTAGTTGAAATACCTGATGCTATTGGAAATTTACATTTCTTAGAAATCCTAAATTTAAAGGGAAACAATTTTTCCACACTGCCTAGCCTCAAGGAGCTTTCCAAGCTGCAACTTTTAAATTTAAAGTATTGTAGGCAGTTGAAATATTTGCCTGAGCTTCCTTCACGAACTGACCTGTCATCTAAAAGAATACTTAAACACTCTTTTAATACAAAAAAAAAGCCATGGGCATTGGAGACATTTCTAACTTACATGGAAGCAGGATTAATTACTTTTGGTTGTCCAGAATTAATTGAATTGGAACGTTGCACTAGCATGGCTTTATCATGGACACTACAAATTCTACTTGAGGTGTGTCCACTCCTTCCTTTCTCTCTTTTTCTTTGTGTGTGTGTGTGTGGGAACCAGGTACTAACACGTAGCTCTGTCTGCGGTACTACTACTAGCGTCACTACCAATACAAACTTCCGTTTCCTCCACCCTTTTTGTATCCTCGGCGCATTTCAAGTATTATTGGAGGAAGTGAAATACCTAATTGGTTCAACAATCATCACGAAGGCATGGGCAGTTTAATAACCATAGATGAATCTCCCCTTATGCAGAAAGGCAATAATTGCATTGCTCTTGCTTGTTGTGTAGTATTTGGACCTCCTTCTCGAAGAAAAGCTCCTCGAACTCCAAATATACGCTCACTTTATCATAGCATTTTTGTTCCCTTTCTTTGGGCTGAAGATCGAATTACGGAAGATCACTTGTGGTGGTTTTATGTTCCAAGTGAAGGCTATATTTGGTCAACCAATGTTCGAAGTGGAGGCCATATTTGGTCAACCAAGTATGAACATTTGCAATTGCAATTTCTCATACTCGAGAAGTCGGACGGTGACATTTGGAGTTTTGACGTGAAGAAATATGGGTATCGTTGGGTATATGAGAAGGACTTACAAGTATCAAACTTGACAATGATATGCAGCCAGTGAGCTTGGAAGCACAACTTTTTGGCAATTGAAGAGAACAAGTAGCAACTTCATTTCAGCTACACTTTCATCATATAGAAGGATTGGAGGCATAATTCAATATGGATGCAAGATTTGCAGCATTACATCAAACAAAGATGCACAGTAGAATTCAAATTCACAATGACGTCAGGGATGTGCAGTCCAATCTTTTCTATGAAAGCTCCACTAATGTTAAAATTAGTGCTACTTTGTTTGAATAAACTCATCATAGAAGAAATGATCATGTTCATGGTATTCTATTTTTAATTAAAAATATAATGTAGCTCTTTTGTCGCTATCATAATTTCCTAAATAATCCCTTTTCATTTTTAGTTTGTCATTGCATATTATTTGGTTTCTAAATTTATGAATCTCACAACAAGTAAATTCTTGTGTTAACTCTATTTGACCAATTTTACTTGTGACTCTTAGGTGGAACTTAACATTTTCATGAGTGTCCTTTCACTCAACTTATTAAGATGACTCTTTGGCAAATGGAGAAAGGATGCTCCAAATTCTCATTGGAAAACAGAATCAAGTTGTTGCATAATCAATTTCCACCTCTTGAACCTGTAGGATCCTTCTGTTGGTAATCATATGGTTCTTTTTCTTTTGATTGTAATGTTTACCAGAGGTTAATTGATACAATTTCTAATCTTTTTTTATATTGACATATAATATTATTATACTTCTGTTGGTTGGCATAGAGTTTAAAAAAACGATTCCCTGTAGGCCTGTATATGTCAATGTAATAATGAGGACATCAAACAAAGGAATAAGATTGTAGACTAATTGGAAAGAAAATGAGGGAAAATATATTTGAAGTTTGACTTGCCTTTTATGCATTTAAGTCTTATATACTTGAAACAAATAGAATCTATTTCATATTTCATATTTTGATCCAAACAGTCATTGTCCTGTCCTCTGATTTTTGAGGGATTGACTAGATTCAATGATTTTGATTCATAATAAAAGAATGGAAAAACCAAATGCATTATTTGCTATAGTGATTTGAAAACTAAATTGAAGATTGAACAGACAAGGCAAATGCTTCTGGATAATATTTTGATGCTTGAAGTTGCCATATTTTTGTTTTCTTCTTTCATGTGTTGTGTACTTAACAAAAATTCAATCTGTTGCAGATTTTGATCCAGGCAGATTTTCCCCTGTGGTCTAACATGTGAGGGCTTTACAGTTTCAAAGAAAAGTAAAAATAAAAAAGAATGAAGTGACATTGCCCAACACTCTCTCTGTTGCAACATTATGAGAACAGGATGAAAGACTGACAAGAAGACCACTATATCAATGTTTGTTTGATTCATTAAGTTAAATTTATGACTAAATACATAAATGTTTTGAATACAAGAATACAAACCCGTATCATATTCTTTAATTTTCTTTGAAGTTAATAACTTCTAATTTCTTCCGTAGCATTTGTTGATGACTGTGAAATTGATAGAAGTATATTAAAATTGATAGAATAAATGTCTTTTATCCTTTTCGAAGACAATCATCTAAAAATTGATAGAAGTATGTTAAAATATTGTTGGCTATTGAAATTTTTCTAATTGTCAAAATAAAATATTTTAAAGTCTTTACAATTTTTTATTTAATTTATAAATTTCGTTAAAAGTTATTTGTGTTTAGGAAAAAAGTAAATTGTATAGACAAATAATGTTTGTTTGTTAATTTAGTCTTAATTTATTTTTAGCTTTACTAAATGACTAGTTTTAGTATTTAAACACTTGTAGCATTTTCAATGTGTGTAAAACTAACTTCATAACTCAAATATATCAAATCAGTTTTTGACCTGTTTCGTATGTGGGAATTTGCAGATTTTTAATTTCACCTGTTATATTATTTTAATCATACACCTATCTTCTATGTTCTGTTTCCAATAACTATCAATAGTAAAATATATTCAAATCATAGAGTTTACAGTATATTTTTCTAATGCATTCAAGTCTTTCGTATTTTGATCCAAAAGATCATTGCTCTATGCTCTGATATTTGATGGCTTTCAAGGATTTTGATTCATAACGAACGAATAGGAAAAAAAATACATTACCGAACACTATTTGCTTCAATTTTGGAAACTAAATTGAAGATTGAATAGACAAAGCAAATGCAGTCGCTATATTTTGAATCTGTTGCAGATTTTGATCCGAACACAAGTACACTTTCAGCTCTCTTCACGAACTGACTTGCACTCAAAAACTTATTTACCACTATGGCCAATCATAACACTTCCTTTTGACGTGAGATTAAATATTTTCAATTGCACAAAATTAGTTGAGAGGGAACACTGCTCTAGCATGATTTTGTCATGGATGATAAAATTTGTTCAGGTGTGTAGCTCCTACCTTTTTCTTGTGTGCAGGAGCCAGGAATTAACATAAAACCCATATTTTATAAAATACTTTTAATTACAGAAACAGTTAAAATATATATTTTCTCTAATACTTTCTATAACAAAATATCATAAAAATATACATTTCTCTCATAAATATTATACAAAATAATTTCTTAAACATTTTATTAAAACACTCATAATTAAAAGTCTCCAAAATATTTTATAAAATTTCTTTTAATTAATCAAAATATCCTTTTAATAATTTTGGGGTGTTACAAACTACATAACAACAGCATAAAAACAAAGGGAATGACACTACAAAAAAAATTGGATTTAGCCCATCGCCTCGATATATCCAACGGCGGTGGCAGTGAGAATGTATTCGGGTATGTGCTAAGGAGAAAAATGTTTGCGTAGAGAGATAGAGAGAGAGAGAGAGAGAAAGAAAGAGAGAGAGAGAGAGAGAGAAAGTGGTGTTATCAAGGGAAGAAAAATGGAGATGGAAGGTGGAGAAAGAAAGGTGGCGAAGGACACGGGTACGAGGAGCTAGCTACTACGTGTTTTCAATATATCCAATGTTTCTATGAGAAAATATATATATTTGTTTTTCTTATTAATTTATAGATTGTTTATTTTAGGTGTCTTGGTTATGAAAAGAGTAGAGAGTAGAGAAGGGTTGATGAGTAGATTTTGTGGTAACACGAGTCGGTTACGTTGTTGACACGGTTGTTGTGTTGTGTGGGTGGCATGCATGATGCAGGTTGGGTTGTCAGTGTTACATTTGGGTGGTATCCTGTATTAATAAAATAGGGTGGTAACAGATGTCACAGATCACCTACTTAACGAATCCAACACAAGATGGTTGGGTGGAGGAAAGATAGATGTGGCATGTTTTGTAAGGAATCTGTGATTGGAAGTATAAAATTAGAAGCTACACAAACTTGGTGGACTGGAATTACTGTCATATTACTCTCACCATCCAAAGCTCTAGTCTACGTGAACCAGGCCAAAAAGAAAATTACAGGACCAAAGATCACTTAATCCGTCCCGGTCTCCGGTTTAAACTTGGTTAAACCGAATATTTTCTGTCAAAATTGAGACGAGTTTGGATGTTACTTACATATACAGGTTTATTTGTCATCTTTATTCTATATATTAATGAGTTTATTTTATGGGTTATAATTTTTCATTTTTATTTTTTAGTAAAAAATCTTTAAATTAAGATAAACTCATTTCAAAATATAAATAATATTTTAACTAACATTAATGTATAAGAAAATTAATATTTTAACCAAAAATTAAGATAACATTTTCTATAAAATTAAGATATAAAAAATATCAACTAACAAGAATAATTTATAATCTATGACAAACACTTAATCTTTGCTAGTCTTTGAGAATATCAAAAGTTTTATTATATTTTATTACACATTCAAGCAAATTAATCTTAGTGTATCACATACATGAATATAATACAAGATATGATAATTTATCGAGTTACATTTTAAGTACATTGTGGAGAAAATAAAAATACTAGAAGGAGGGAATTGAATAGTGTCTATTGAAAAGTTGCACATTTTCAAACAATGAAGTAGTAATATAACCACAAGAACACTTACAAAGAGTCAACAGACTAAGCACAAGGAAAATTATATTGGTTTGTCTCTATCTCAAGGTTATGTCCAATTCTCAATCCAAGTAGATTGAATTCTACTATCTTTATCAAAGATATAATTATTCTTTTCCCAAGTCACTTCTGGCTCAACCTTAAAAGTGTTCATTGACTTGTCTTTTCAAGTAACTATCTAAGTATTCTTTGTAACCAAGTCTCTCCAGGCTTAAACAACCAATGATTTTTTTTTTATAAACAAGCCTGTAACAGCCCAAGAACCCGCATGTAGATATTGTCCGCTTTGGCCGCAACCCTCACGGATTTGTTTCTGGCAATGGCACGCATGCCACCCCAAAACGCGTCTACACAAGGAAGGTATCCACACCCATATATATGGCATGCTTCGTTCTCCTTCCTAACCGATGTGGGACTATATCCACCCCCCCTCAAGGGAGTCCAGCGCCCTCGCTGGCACACCG